AACATAAAAAAATAGGTACAATAATAAACATAATATCAATGAAGGACTATAATTTACCTTATTTAATTGCTCTTTGGTATATACGTGATTAATAATATCCATTAATGCTACAGTGGCAGTCATTTTTCTATGTAAATAAAAGAGCTTTATTATTAGTATACACACTAATTTTTCTACGAATTTAAATGATATATATCTTCAAATAAAAATACCTAGGTTTTATTTCATCCAAATTTGCTAATATATAATCAAGCATGGTATCATTCTTTGCATGTCTCGCAACGACAAAATGAAAAATGTAAACTTGGCCGTAATCTTTTTGTGTTTCATTATAAAATTTTGCTGACTTTATGAACTCTATATAATTACGGATAATAAAGAAATCTTCGGAGCAAACCATAAATTTAAGGTACGTATAATTAGGTAAATCAGGTTTTCCAGTATGTGTGTTATGTAACGCTGAATACCAAGTATCATTATCTGCTATCATTAAACCATTACAGTATGTCCATTCCTCCCACCTTGACGAAATACTAAAATATTAGGAAGAGAATATAAAAATTAATTATGAAAATTTTGTTTGTAGTATTTCAACTTTAAATAATTTATTAAGCACTGCATTAATACGAAAATTACTTTTATTATTAAAAATTAAAAATAATACAAATAATTTTAATTAAATAATATAATATTCAAAGAATATAAATACAAATAATTATTTATATTACGTTTGATTTTTTAAATGTATCTGTAATCTAAGGAAAGCTTCTTCCTTGCATTCGAAAGAACCAAGAATACATGCCCATCTTGAAATCTCTTCTTTTAAACTGATATCGAACAAATAATCCGAATCATCTTTTATTATTTCAACAAAAATTTTATTTACTATTCTCAGCATATTTCTCTATAAGAATTATTAAGTAATATAATATTTACGTTGGTTCTTTATTATACTGATAAAGAAAAAAATTATGCGTGTGTGTATGTATGTGTGTTTGAAAAAATATGTTAACCATTAATTTTTTGTCATCTTCATAAATTAAACATAATCTAAAATTATGGTGTGTATTTTATAAATATATTTATTACAGTATTATACATTCATTTGCGAATTTATCAACTCAATTGTACAGAACGTAATTAATTAATTAAATTGATAAAATTTATTATTATCTACCTTTATATATGAACTATTTTGATAATGAAAGAAAGTCGACATGTATTCAAGACCTTTAAACATAGGATACCATGCTATAAAATCTGTCTCTCGCCATAGATATTTCGTGAGATTCAAGAATACATTCAAATCAGTTTCGTTTCTCATAAAAAAGTAAAATGCGTCATCGATAATTTGAGCACGGTTGAGAATATGTATTTTATCTATATGATGTTCATCCGAATTTAAGTATTCCGAGATTTGTCCCAAAGTAGTCTTATCGTATTTGACACGATAATATCCTGTTGTACAATTAAGAATTATTTTCATTTTTGGTATATAATCTTGATCGATTTTTCTAATAATACTTTTACTGTACTTTATTTTCTATTGCATTTACTTTATTAGGATTATCACATTAAAATCATGTAAAAACTTACTATAAGTAAAATAACATATTATAAATAAAGTTGTAAAAATTTATATATAGGGTGTTTTCTTTCCGAATGCCGCGGCACTAAGTACAGTAATATGTTTTTTTTTTAAATCATTAATAATGCAGATCTTTTTTTTACTATCAACCTTTAGTCTTCATTTAACGTCTCAACCATAAGATAACGCATTTGTTGTATTTTTCCTATTAAATTGACGTAGCCTTTTATTCTCTAAAATCAATACGTTTTGCGGCACGATATGCCGCGTGCGCCTCAAAAAGCAAGTAAAATATTGCTTATATAAATAATTGTAATAATGCGACATGTTAAACCGCTTCCCACATTTTAATTTATTTTGTATTAATGTTATATCTCTTTTGATTAGTGTTAGATTAAGTTATGTTGTAAATAAATTATAATTACTATTAGTTTATATTTATGCATTAAAAAGTTTATTTTATATCGTTATTCTATAAAAGCACTGTTATTATTTTCTTATATTTGATTGTAAATTAGTATGTCTTTATTTTTTTTAAAAATATCTTAAAATCTCTTAATTTTTGTCTTATTTTTAATTTTCTACTTGCATATAACCAGACTTTTAATTTTACAAAAAAGTAAACAAAATAGTTTTACAAAATAATTTAGTATTATAATTAAATTTTAATTTTATATTTTATTATAAATATATTTTACTTGCTTTTATGACGATTATTCAATTATTCATTCAATTATTATAACTCCTAAATAATAAATTTGTGATGCAACACTCAGTGCCACGTGCCCACTAATGGTTGGCCGGGAGGCGCGCCCGATTAATTCGGACATTTAGAACATCTCTCATGTTTTTATTAATTTAACAAAATATTAAAGGGAAAAACTATTGAATCGTTTTGTAAGGGTAAATATTATGATAATCAAATATTTTCTTTAGGGTTATATTTTTGAGATTTATAACAATCGTTACTATTTTGTAAATAAAATTACAAAATGTATGAATTTTTTAATAATAAAATATAATTCTTCTAATTATACCGGATATAGAATTATTATATAAAAATTATTTTAAAAAATAAATATATTATGGGATATTTTTTATTTTATTCTCGCCCTGATGAAGTGAACTGCAACGTTCACGAAACATTGACATCCTAATAAAGTAATGGGTCTGGACATAGAGACCCGCATAGTGGCTTCTGTATATTATACAATATACATTAAATATTTAAGCACAATACATTTCTCAATCAATATTTACCTATTTGTTGTACATTAACTATAATCCAGTTAGTTCCAGCATTGAGATTTAATTCTTCTCCCACTAAAGAAAAATAGATATTACTCTGCAAAGTTGATAAAGAAAAATCAGGTCTATCTTTATTTGCATTCGTAACTATGGTGTAAGGTATCGACCAGTTCTTCTCATTAGTATTCCAGTTCTTCCTGTTAGTATACCAGTTCTTCTCATTAGTATTCATATTTTCTACTAATATTGTCACGTGAGAATTATTTTGTGTAACTTTCACTACAGGATAGTGCTGTTGCTTTGTCCAAGCATCCATGAACTGCTTTACGCTTAATTCTACACGTCTGATTGGAGAAATATCATAAGCACGTTGTATAGCAGTCCAAAAAGCATCAGTAATTGTCATATCATTTAAAGAAGGGCTGCAAAATTTATAATAATTTTACTATTAACACAATAAAATGTTGTATTTGTAATTTAAAATTATTATGTATTAATTATTATATTCCATGAATGCACGTATGCGTGCGTGTGCGTGTGCGTGTGCGTATGAGTGTAAGTGTGTGTGTGTGAGTGTGAGTGCGCGCGCGCGAGAGTGTGTGTGTGTGTGTGTGTGTGTGGAGAGAGGGAGGGGGGGAAGAGATGTGCTAGAAACTTAACAAATTTTACAAATAATGATATGTCAGTTTTTACTTACTCTTCGCTCAAATATGTTCTTATAGCATTTTGAAATATATCATTTGATAGCATCAGTTGTAACATGCGTAGTATAGATGGTGCTATGGAAAGTCAGTTTATAAAATGTAATTATATATTTTAAGTATTCATTATAATCAATATAATTCACGTATATATTTGTAAAGATAAATAATCTTGTAAAAAATAAATTTATTCTCTCGAATTATTTGTTTTTCACTTTTATAATACATATAAACGTAATATGTAAATAAAGATAAACACTTACAATTTATATTTTTACAACATTTACGTTTGGGAACTTATAGACTGTTCAATTAATATCTTACCTTTCAAATAATAAGATATTGAAAAAATTGATTCAATTTCAGAAGGAGTTTGTATTTCTGTTATAAGAGGCTTCATAACGAAATTATCATCGAAACGAAGAGATTCTTGTAGAGTTTGAACAACAAACAAATCGTTTATACGGAAACCTGGCAAAATCTAGAAGTAAAAAAATTTTAATATAATCGATAATTAATTAGGTCGGATCATATTAGTAGCAAAATATGCATCACACAGTGGTACTGCATTACGTTATTATTGCTATTTTATAAATAACTATTTTATATTAGACGTGCTTTATATTGTAAAGTTTCTGCAAAATATAATTATTTTATATTATATAGTACCTAAACCATTTAAAAAGAGTTTTTGCAGGTCTTTACTACATTAGTTTAATTTAAATATATATGCTATTGTTTGTCATTGGAAATAATATTAAATAAAAAAACCTCATCAATTGCATCCAATGCGAGCAATGTTGTAATACCCTCGATTAACCACATGTAAGACCACCAAGATGGACTGATACGGTTTCTAAAGCATTGATATGCTATTGAACGTCCTATTAAATGAGCAATTTCTGGTTTACGCATTAACGAATCTTTTTTTTCATGAAATATAACAGCTGTTTCTCTAAAAAGCATTTCAAAATAATAGAATTTTGTTAGGTTTTATTTCTTCTATTTAATTGTTTTAAATTTTAATTGTTTCTCTCTTAATTATATAATCATATTTTATTTTATATTAGGCTATTAAATGATACTTTTTTATATGGGCTTGTTTTGGTGCAATATTAATTAAAATAAAGAAAACAAATTTAAAAAAAAGGTTATAACTTTTTTTTATAAATTAAAATGAGATTTTGATGTAAAATATGAGAAATATTGTTTAGTAAAATGCATTTTTTATTTAAAAGAATAATTTCCTTAAAAGGAAAATGTAATACCTGTAATAAATGAGTCCCAAATTTGATACGGCATCGTGTCGGAAACCTGGGATTAGGACATGAGTTATATCTGTCATGTTCTTGAGATGCTCTTGAGATATGTAGTATGATGTGACTTCTTCAACAACAAGACGTGCAAATGAGGTATAATACGTGTTTAACTGCTGTCTACATGTGATGTTTACATTAATATCGTCTATAATATTGAAAAATTATATTATTAGCTTAAGAATTTCTTACTTATTTTTATAACAGTTTCTAAAATAATTTCTAAAAAATACATGCTTTTAATTTATGAGTAAAGGAATTTTACTCTTACATTTAGTCTAAAAATATGTGCTATTTTAATTTCGCTCAGATTATCATATATATCAGAGATTTTAATAACCACTAAATTCACACATTTACAAATAGTATCAGATATGGAATGGTTTTGAAAAAAGTATCAAATTTTGTTTTATTTTATCTAATTTGCTGTTTTTAATTTAATATATAGATAGTGTTATAGATAATACAGTAGTGTTATATAGTGTCTAATCAAAACCTGATTAGTTATGATGAGAAGATAATAAAGGGGTTCGAGGAAGAAAATTTAAGTCCATTTTAGACGATCTTTAATTCGGAATAGAATTTTATTTCCAATTTTGCATGTCGTGTAACCAGTTGGGACACTTCATGTCGGCATCTTTGATCTCAACGTGATTATATATCTATCTTAATGTCAGAACCGAATAAAAGAATGTGTTCTATCTATTTTCCAAAGATATTTTTAAAATTATTTTTGTGTAGTCAGGATCTAAAAGGTTAAAGTAAAAATTAAAGTAACACGTTTTTTTTTTAATGTAGGAATGGAGTCTACTCACTGAGCGAGTGGTTCTTATTTGTCGATCGATGAATAAGAATTAATCGCTCGGTGAGCAAGTTGTATTCCGAAACGTGTTGCAATCTATTTAGGCTCCGACTGTACATACAAGGACATAAATACATACATAGCCGTCCGTGTTGTACACATATCGGAGAAAGCACAAGAAAGATTAAGAAGAAGGCATGGTCAGGCGTTTGTGTCAGGGTGCGCTTCTAATATAATGTATATCATGCATTAAATATATCTCAGAAATTTACTTATGAACATCTATTAAATCAATTATTGAAAGTCTTCTTTTTTATGTCCCTTTATTATTTTCTCATCAAAATTAGTCAGATTTGACCAAACACTGCACTATCTATAATTCTTTAAAAATATTGCAAATACCAAGTGAAACGTATTCTGTGGAATATGTATAGACTATTTGGCGAGAACATAAGTAGATCGATCATCATGAGATTAGAATAATTAACTAATTTAAAAGAATTAATTAAAGAATATATTTTTAGTTTCAAAAAATGTTCCAGAAACTGATAACAAAAAGAAATTATTTGTTAAGAAATCATTAAGAATGTGTTAAGAGGGTTTACAAATGTATAATTCTCTTACCTTCAAAAAACAATGATTTTACTGTGGTGAACTGTGGTGATAGTAATATTGCTGAGACGTGATATGTTGGGATTCGAATTACCTCAATATGCGCTTTTTGCCAGTCAAGTACATAACTTGTTATATGTCTAATTAGTGTATTCGACAGAATTGTGTAATTATATTCATATGTTATAAAAATCTCAAAAGTCGCCAGAAACCTTGGTTCGTCCCAACAAGGAAATATTCGTCGGGCTCCAATTGGCAGAAAATCTAATGCGACTAACCATCTGTTATATTTTAATAATATATTTTACATAATTATAAATATTCAATTAAATATATCAATCCACTTATAACATTTTAATTTTTACTCACGTTGTATCTCCTTCATCATTTATAAATGATGTTCTGAAAAGACCTTCACTGTCTACTTCTATATACTCAAATGTCAAATTTAAGCTGTAAAAACCAGGTGGTATTTCCTTATCGAAGATAAAGGCCCAGACATTATTTTTATTATTGTATTGAGAAATTATTGGAAAATACGTTGGAACATATGATTCTTTCTCTTTTTGTTTTTTATATATAGTTTTCAATTCTTGAAAATAAAATTTCTGTATTTGTGATATATCTGCATGTAAATTTATATTTTTCGTTGGACTAGTAATTTGAATAAAAATTGTGCATTGGCCTTGAGAAGAAATATCTGTGTTCGTAGTATAACGTAGGTCTAATTGGATTGTATAATGTACAGGATATATATTGTCCGGTAAACGGTTTCCAGCTATTTCCAGTAAGTTTACATATGTCAAATTTTTACCGGAAATAAGATCTGAATCTGCCGCACCAAAAAGCAATAGACCGCTATTTAATAATAACATTAAGAATCCCATACCAATTTTCATTCCAGGTATCTGTAGAAATTTTTTTAATAAATAACAAAAATTTAATTGACAAACGCAGTGCAAAACCTTATACATTATAATTTGTATATAAAATTTTGTATACAAAAAGCAGAAAAGGAATATAAAAAAAACTATACTAATATTACAAGATGTTAAAAAAATTTTTGGTAATTTATTACTTAACACACACACAAGAAATTCATAACAAGTGTTAATATTATAAATTTAATAATAGTTTATTATAATATTGTTTAATAATATTTATTATAATATTTATTAATAAATATTATTAAACAGTAAATATTAAATAAATATTTATTAATTAAATAATAATTTATTACATAATACTTATTTTTTACATTTGTGTCATAACTTATTACTTTCAAGATTTGTTTGTTTTTTCTTTGAAATAAAATAGTCAAATATTATGTGACATAATGACAAACAAACTCAATCAAAATAAAATCAAATTTATTTATATTTCTTTGAATACACGTTGCCTTATATTTACGATCATGTCTAACCGACATGAGAACATCAATCTAGTATGAATCGAATATCAATTATTGTATGTTAAAATGTTTCTGTGATACACATAAATTTATGATTACATAAATATATACCTTCTTCAAATCTTATAAGATTTTATTTAATTTTCTTTTATAACAAAATTTGGCATTTAAGGAAAACTAATGAATAGTAATAACAACAAATCAAGAAAACTAAATATTTTGTTTTTTTAATAGAAAAATTAGCATTCGCGTTGTATATTTATGTATTGTATATTCAACTTGTCGTAAAAAAAATCATCTAGTTCAGAAAAAAGTATAGAATAAAACATGAAGAATGTAAAATATGTATATATTTCCTTTCGAATTATTCAAATATATTCTACGTTACATTTTGAAAGGTATCTGTTGCGAGATTCTTTAAATGTTTTATCGACAATTGTCACTATCGTTAACTAAGCGACAACCAATAACTTCCAATAACCAGTCACATTTCTTTCATGATTATCCTGTCATTGGCTATCGCTAATTAACCATAATCACCGATAAGACGTTTAAAGAATCCCGCTACTAATAATAAAATCTGTGAGACAAAGAAAATTTATTTACAACACGTCCATGATCATAATTTAGGCTACATTTTAAAATATCCTTTAGAAAGAAATTTTTACTCGTAATATATATTTAGAACATGTAACATATTATGTTATATCAAGTAAGATTTTTCGGAGAGAATATTTTGGAATGAAAACAGATACGCGATAAACTACATTAGATTTTGTAATCCGTCTTAGCGAAATTAATTACTAGACCACCATTAATAACACAACTTTAAAGACTTTATGCCAATTTTTGTTTGAGATGTCCATAGGAACTTTAAAAAAGTATAATATAAACGTAGAATTCTATTCATAAGTTTTATATAAAAGAGGGAAATAAAAATATATAAGCCATTACAGTAAAAAATATAAAAATAAAAAGTAAATCTTGTTGGTAATTGTTTAAAAAATAAATTTTAATGAAAAAGTAATCTGTTTAATTATAAATTATATTATCCTAGTAATTGCACAGATTGTTCTGACATATATGTTATATTTTTGGCGACTCACCTTGTGTATTAAAAATTGTGCACCGAAGATGATTTCGTAATAATTAGCAGTGCTTAACACAACTTAATAAATTGATAATATCGAAAATATACAATTATGATCTTATCGTTTCGAGAGGTAATTGAAAACTGAGAACGTTTTCGATGTCCGACAAAAATACATATAACATCATGTATTTAAGGTCATTAGTACACATATCTTAATTACTAATAATCAATAAATATTATTATTTAATATGTAATTAGATCGACTTTACAGTAATTTTTCTGTTTTATTAAGATAAGTCTAAAAGTGTTAAGATAAAGTCATCGGAAAATTAATATTTTATATGTATGACATATTTCATTTCTTGTATCAAAATACGGGAAAATGTAAAATCTAAAATATTTTGTAAAATTAATTTTTAGATGACATTACATTTATATTTTTATATACAAAATATTATCATATATAAAAAGTTCACTTTTTCTCATAAAAAATATTGAATATAATGATCGTAGAATATTCGTAAAACGGGAAAATATATTAAATTTTAAAACAACCTTATATATATGTTCAAAAAGATATATTTTATAATGTCACATAGATATTAAAAAAACTTATATACTCTTTCGAATTTAATGATCCCAACACAATAATTGAACTTATATTTAACTTAAGGTTTTATAATAAAGTAGTTAATCAACCAACAATATAATTACAATGGGAGAATTATAGTATTGTACCATATTCCTGCTATGAACATTATTTGAAAATCTAAAGATCTCTCTTAGTAGTACATTATTTTTCAATATGTATTCAAATTAGGGAATTCTGTTTATTGTTTTATTATTTTTCGAGCCGTTACAAAAAATATTGGAAAAAATTTACTGATTTAACTAATGTAATAATAATAAATTCAAGAAAATAAGAAAACAATTGATTCGGTCCAAATAAGACACATACTCTTTTTGTTACGCTAATTTTTATTATCAATAATCGAGAATAAAAACAGATTAATAAATATCTTCAAAAAATAATATTCAGTCAAAAGCAATCAGTAACAATTCAATTTAATTAATATAAGAAGCACTTGTTTAAAAAATGTTTCAGATTTCGTATGTGATAAATTTTCGTTAGGTATATAAATTAACGCAGAATATTTTTCGAATTTAAACTTAAAAGTCACTATTTTTTCCAAACTAATGACTTGTGTAGACATTGAGATAATATCAACATTTAAATAGATGTCAAAAATACATGTTTCAAAACATTCGAATCTAGTAGATCTGTTTTTGAAATGTTTGCATTGTTGCAATATGTTCTGCTTTGGATGAAATTAAACGTTAAATTAATTTTCTAACTAAAAATGTATCAATAATGTTTTCTAACTTTTGAATATGTAAGAAAATAAAAAGACAAATATATGCTTAACAGTTAGAAAACTAAACTTTATATGGGGAAAACCATTATTTAATTTTGTTTAAATTGCATTCGGCATATGTGCTTTGTCACATGTCTGTTTTATTAAAAAATTTTCTTATATTTCTTTTGAATATAAACGTATTTTAAAGTAAATTTTTATACACTTCTCACAATATTTAAATAAATATTGCAAAATATATGGAAGAGATCCCAGTCTCTTTCTTTACATCATGTACTTATCCTATTATAAATCTACGTTTGATCATAATTACATGCTTGCTTCTTAGTTAATGTTCTATTGGATTGTGTAACATTTTAAACAATTATATACATTTTCATCATAAATATAAATTATTTTACACTAGATATTTATACTTACATATCCAGTAATATTTTGAGCAGTTCATCTAATAAGCAAAATGTGGCAAAAGTGTTTCTTTCTTACTGGATAACATATCTTATTGGATAAATTTCGATGACATTCTAAAACTTAAAGAGGCAAATAATTCTTTTTAATTACATAACAAACCAAAGTTAATTTTTGCTAAATTCCTTGGCGAAAAAGAGAAAAAAGACCTATTTGTGATCTTCTTTGGCAAATATTCTTCGCGGCGCTTTTAGCAAAACTTTAAATTTGGCTGTCAATAAAAATTAGTATTGGCATTCTTATTTATTTTTACAATTTTATTGCAATAGAAATTACTTTCCATTTTATCAAAAATATGTATATATTGTATTTGAATGATCATAAAGACCGAAGATATATTCCTATTGTGTAATTCTGTACGTCTGCCGTTACTTTATATGTATATTTTTTCAATTTTCAATTTATTTTTGCCATGCTATAATAAATTCTCATTAAGACTCCTTTAATGCAAGCAGTTTTTCTGACTTATCGCAATACAATGATTACAATATTTGATTTCAAGACGAGGTAAATATAATAATTATCGTTACAACTTGTTTTCAAGATAGGTTTTGTGCATTATTTTTATTTTGGAAACCGACAGCAATATAATTGTATTATGCGACATGAGAAAGATGCATGCATAAAAGAGACATAACAGAGAAGATTAACGATGCTAATTGTTACTAATGCTAGGTTACTTTATTTACATAATCGGCTAACGATTTATAAAATCAGATAACGTGATATTTTCCTTCATACACAGGCCAAGTAAACGTAATGTCTAGGCACTTTTGTTGTAAAATGCAAATTTTCTGCATTTTTTAGACAACTTAAACATATATATATATATATATATATATATAT